ATTTAATTAAAATGTATTTTTTTAATATGTCATTTAAGAATTAGTTAAACACTATTATAATGTGAGGTAAGTTTGAGATAATTCTTAAAGCTAATATGGAATTATTATTATTTTTGTTAAAAGTTATATTGTAGTTATTTTTGTTAAAAGTTATATTGTAGTAAGGCGAATAATCGTGTGAAAAAAAATTATAATGAAAAATGTAAGAAGATTTCTGAACACTTGATCTCTTTCAATCTCATGCCCATCGATGATTAATCTTTAGAAGAAAATTGATCATGTATATTTTTGTATACTTTATTAGTGTTGACATTCAATTAAGATTAATCCAAACTTTTATCACCAACCCATTGATTTTATATAAAATTCGAATTAGATCAATGTGCGATTCTATGATTAAACTATACATTTTAGTGGTGGTGGCATAGTGGATTATATACTTTCCAATATTTAAAACAAAAGCGAGGGGCATCAATTGGAAGGGTGTTAGAAGCAATTTCTTAAACTGAAAGGGGTAAGACTGTAAATTAAGGATGTGTCAGTCACCACCACACCTTTTATATTAAAATCCCGCGAACATCCTCCATCGGTATCTCTCACTCTTCAACTGTGGGACAAAAGTCTCTCTCCCGAAACACACGCATTCTCTGCAAACCAATTGCCATCAATGGCTGCAGTGAAGGGATTGTATGGATCGCTAGATGAGTTCTTGAAGCAGTGTTCACAGTCGGGTGACTCTGCCTACAGTGCATTCAGATCACTCTTGGAGCGCCTCGAGAATCCGGAGACCCGAACCGAAGCCAGGGTGTTCTTCGCACATCTCCAGAAAAAGCTCGACAGCGATGGAGCCTCTCAATATTGTCTTGATACTTACCATTTCCAAATCCAAGATATATACCTCGAACGAAATGAAGGTCCTTTATATGTCCATTTATTTATCCATATGTTTATGTATCTTTGTGTGCATTGCTCCAATATATTTTTTACTTAATTGTGAATGTTTTCTGTGTGTATCTGTGTGTTCTTGGTACCATTCTTAATTCGCGTTTTAGTTTTAAATTTTAGTGACGAATCGATGATTGCTTGGATAACAATTCTCTTGTAAATTTGTGTGACTTATTAAAGTAGAATGATCTGATAAATGCAGCCGAAGTAAAAGTAGTATTCACAAGGTCACTAGCAGCAGTTTTATCTCAAACTAGTTGAGATAGACCAAAAGTGAAACCCATCCGGACTTGCAGAGGTTAACACAGACTGACCTTTGGAACATGGTAGAACGATTGATTCAGTTGTCTCATATCTATGGCTTAATTTGTTATTTCTTCTCAGTGAAATCTCTCTTCAATACTTTCCCCATCCTAAACTTCACCTATTGTTATAAATTTGGAACAAGTATTCTTGACTTGCAATTTATAATCTAAAAGGCATATCGATACCATTCACAGGGAGATATTACGATCTATGAGTCTGGCATTTGTTTCCACTGTAAGATCACAAAAGGTGGAGTAGGCTATCAGAATTGTACAAGATTGTTGCACTCTTATATGGATGATCATCCGAAGTTTGAGTCTAATGATCATTCATCCCCCTCCCTAATAAGGGATAAGAAAATGGAGCTATCCTTTCTATTCTCACATTATAATATGCCTAAACATCCTAGTTTTTTTGCAAGCACATTTCGATAAGCTTTAGTCACTGAATCATCTTCTTTGTTGTTGTAATGAGCCCAGTGTATAGAACAAATGAGTAGACTTACATTCTGGCATAAGATCACTTCCACGACAAAACTGGCTACAGTTTGAAGAGGCACGATACACTTTGGTTAGTATTGATAGATGTCCTAGCTTTTTGGGCTTAGTTCCTTTTCGGATTTGTCAGCTATAATAGCTATTATGTTATCCCCAAAATTTCATCTCTTATCTTATACTTGACTCCACACCGTCTATGAATTTATCAATCGTAGTATCAAATTGGTGACCAAATTTTTTTTCTCTTTATCTTGTACTTGGCTCCACAACATCAATGAATTTATCAATTGTATTCCTAAATCCATGATAATCAATGTTTTTCAACCTCTAATTATGGCATTGGGATTAAGAGGTTGGTCACCATCAGAGATCGATCAATTGTAGTCATCACTGTTCTGAGCATATTCTTTTTCTGCTGCATGGATTTTCTTTCAAGTTGAATCCTTGTTTGTTAAATAAATATGCATTCTCAACTTTTAAAATTTTAACTCATACAATTCTTAGTAATCGTACAGTGTTGAAGCAATTTCAAGGAAAGACTAACTGTATTTCATGTTCGCTTTATTAATTAGCTGTGTCATACTGTCATATGCAAACTTGGACTGAAATGTTGCTTTGTTTTTCCTTCCTGACACAGGTTACCAGAAGAGAAAAAAATTAACGATGATGGTGATACCAAGCATCTTTATGCCAGAAGATTGGTCCTTTACTTTCTATGAGGGTTTGAATAGACATCCAGACTCTATCTTTAAGGATAAGATAGTTGCCGAGCTTGGTTGTGGAAACGGGTGGATTTCCATAGCCATTGCTGAGAAGTGGTTGCCATTGAAGGTCATGGTTATTCTTGCTGCTCATCTTTAAGCCCATGTATTTAGATGGTGATTTAGAAGAATCTAAGTGAACTAATGCTCTGATTATGTTACCTATCAAATATCTTATTTACAACACCAACAACTAGTAGGGGTAGGATAAAGTTGGAACCTGGATACAATTTATTACTAGTTTGATATCTTCTTTAATGAAGCATATTTTCTAATCTATGTACTTCATATTTTCCTTTTTCTCATTTTGCAGGTTTATGGCCTTGATATAAATCCAAGAGCAGTAAAAATTTCATGGATAAATTTGTATTTAAATGCTTTCGATGAGAACGGGCAGCCCGTTTATGACCACGAGAAGAAAACTTTGCTCGACAGGGTAGAGTTTTACGAATCTGATCTACTATCTTACTGCAGAGATAACCACATAGAGCTTGAACGGATTGTTGGGTGCATACCACAGGTATTCTAGTCAATCATCTGCTATGTCTTGATGATTGTTTTATGCTGTTCTTGTTACCTCTTGATTTACTGATTCACTGCTTCTGCTAGGAGTGGTGATGCTCACTTTTTCCCATATGGTATTAATTTTCACTCTACTTCATGTTCTAGATTCTAAATCCAAATCCAGATGCAATGTCCAAGCTTATTACAGAAAATGCCAGCGAAGAGTTTCTACATTCACTCAGTAACTATTGTGCACTTCAGGTAAGTGGAAACTCCAAATTCCCTGTTGTTCTTAGGGGATGTTTGCTTTTAGTTAGCTGGCAGGTTAATGGACACAGTTTATCTATGCTTTTTGTTTATGCTCCTCAATTGTTGTCTTTCCAACGTTTACAGGTCTACCCTGGAAACTGATTTCAATTTAGCTAAGCCATATTATGCCAAACACGTTTGATTCAGTTGAATTGAGTTCTAAGGGTTTCCATATAATGAAGTTCACTTGTGAAATTCAGGAGCCCCCTGTTTTAAGTCATCTGTTGTGGATCAATTGATGAATTGAAGCACTGCGGCCTGGTTTTAAACGCGTTCCATGCAATTTTACTCATGATTAATGTATTCTGCCCATCCTAAAATTTAGATGCAATTGACTACTATGGTAAAAAGCAATTTAGGGTAAAAAGGAATATAACATTTATAAGACGAACAAGGATACTCTATGAATTTGTAAATGAAGGGTTAAAACAAACAAACTCTGTAATCTATACTATATTATAAAGCATTTGACAAAAACTCTTAAAAACAATTTTTTATGCATAAAGTACTGTTTATTGATGCATATTACTTAAAATTCAGGATTACAAGTAGAATGTGCATGAGTACATCTTATTAAAGCTCCATGTTTGAATTTGTATAACTAACTGCAGATAAACATAATCAAATACATGATAAACATCATTTTAAATATAAAAAATCTAAAATATAATTAAGATAACCATTGAGTTCTAACAGAATACTTAATTATTATCTTAAAGAAATTATTTTATTAAACCAAAAATAAATTAGTTTGTCTCTAAAATTCAATTAAATCATAATAAAAAATTGAATTAAAAAAATTACACAAAAAAGAGAACTTTTAAATAGTTAATTTGATACTAATATCGCTTATTTTTATCAAAATTTTATAATATCTTCAAATTTATATTTCATTCAAAATAAAAACATTTTCTTTTTCTCAAAACCACATAAAATCGCATTATAACATTGATAGACCCAAAATATAAAACGTAACATTAAAATAAAGATGTTGCGCGAGTACCCTTCTAGTCTTCCTAAAGTCATTTCAATTTGGGATTCAAGTATGACCACTGTTCAGAACTCATTATAGATCTCTAATTTTGAAACAGAGGTAGAATTCTGATTTTAATAGTAATTTGGTAAAGTGTATTAGCACCAAAGGGTATGCCTATTTATAGCCTTCCCCACTATTACTTTAATGTTTCTAACTTGTTTCACATCAAACCCATTTTCTCGGAGATTGAAAAGTCATATTGAGAATAAAATTATCATCAACATTAGAATATTAGCATGCTATTTAATTCTGTATGACTGATTTCTTGTTTTATTTTCTTCTCTTATCTCCAAGAAGAATGTATAAGAAGCTGGGCCCTGGAAGACTGACTCCTCCATACTACTGCTGTCTATTCAATAAAGATTTAACATGTGCTGTTGTTAATCAACAGAACATATTATTTATTCTTAATCCTTTTGGTTTAAAACCAAACATAAATGTTGGAACTAAGAGGCCCACACAGTAGTCCTGCCATCTGATGCTCACCTGTTAATACATGGCAATGTTCTTACTAATCATCAGTTTTAAACATAAACATTACTTTTCTCATTTCTGATCTTCAAGAATTATGACTCGCAACTAAGTACACGCTCAGAGTTCAAGAACCCAATAAAACCTTTTGTCAACTACACTAGCTGAGTCATCCATGACATCTGTTAATAGTAACAAATGCTTAATACAATGTGCCAGCCTCTCTTGGTGCGTTACTACTTCCTCGTCCTTTTTTGGTTTGCATTCATAATTTTGTCATATAGGCAGGTACTATTATGGTTATGATGACTGATGACCTTGTTGCTGAATGCTGATTCCTACACAATGCAGATTGCTACCTGGCCAACAATTCATTACAGACGCCATCACTGCATCCTTTTTTCATGATTGTATAAATATAAATTCTAACATATAACAATGTACTCCCATGCTATCATCTCAATTTTGCCTGATGGAAGGTGTTGTTGCAATGTAATGAACTCCATTTTTGCAATTGGATATGCAGGGATTTGTTGAGGATCAGTTTGGTCTAGGTCTTATTGCTAGGGCAGTTGAAGAAGGAATTGATGTCATCAAGCCTATGGGAATCATGATCTTCAATATGGGAGGCCGTCCAGGGCAAGGTGTTTGTAAGCGCCTATTTGAACGTCGTGGGCTCCGTGTTAACAAGCTGTGGCAGACCAAAATTCTTCAGGCTTCTGACACAGATATTTCAGCCTTGGTAGAAATTGAGAAGAATAATCCACACCGTTTTGAGTTCTTCATGGGACTTGTTGGAGACCAGCCAATTTGCGCTAGGACAGCATGGGCCTTTGGAAAGGCTGGTGGACGGATTTCTCATGCTTTGTCTGTTTACAGCTGTCAGCTTAGACAACCCAATCAGGTCCTTACTATAAAAGCACGAAGTTATTGTTGATAGCTATAGCATAAAGTAATCTGAATAATAAATACTGAACAAACTAAGCTGGCAGGTGAAGAAAATCTTTCAGTTTCTCAAAAACGAATTTCATGATATCAGCAACTCCTTAGATTTATCATTTGGAGATGATTCTGTTGCTGATGAGAAGATCCCATTCCTAGCATATCTTGCTGGTGTTTTGAAAGACAACTCACGCTTTCCATATGAGCCTCCAATTGGAAGCAAAAGGTTCCGTGATCTTATTGCAGGTTTCATGAAAACATACCACCATGTACCGCTTAGTGCTGATGTAAGAAGACTTCTCTTATTAATGTTTCTCTATGCTATTTATCACATCGCTATTATGTAATCTTCCTGGTACATCAAAATATTGGTTCTTCTCTCTGCTAAAGGCTTGTAATATAACTCTAAGCTTCTATTAACTCATATACAACAGAAAAACCTTAAGAACTAGCTGTGGTAGGCTAAAAACTGAAAGCGGTAAGTATTTAAAATAGAGGTGGATCAGTTGGTATTCTGAACATGAGTAGCATCCTTTCACATTCTCCCAACTATGGATGATACCTTCTATATATTTTAACAATTCATTGATCAAATAAGATTATGGAGTAACTGCTATGACGAATGTTTCTTAAACTGAAACAATCAGCTATTATCTGTCGCTGCTGTAGATCTTTAAGAATGCATTACCACAAAGTCATGATGGTTCGAGGATCTTCTGTGGTAGAACACCTTTACCAACTATTTTGGTTCTAGATTCCACATTTCATACTTCAATTATTAGGTAAGAATATGTGAGTTGACAAAAATGTGTTGTCTGAATGAGATGTTCATCAGTCAATATCTTGTAAAATGGATGTCAGTATAAATATGTATGGAGATATGTTCTTCCCTTTGATAAAGTACCAGCCTTCTTATTTGCATAGTATTGATCTTACAGCCTTTTGTAACATGTATGTTGCATTCCTGACTTGCTTATTCTTGACCATTCTGCAAGAATGTTGCTGTTTTCCCTTCGAGGGCTACGGCTATTGAGAATGCTCTCCGGTTGTTCACTCCACGTCTTGCCATTGTTGATGAACATCTTACCCGACACCTACCCAGGCAATGGTTAACATCATTAGAAATTGAGGTATGGTATATTTATGAAGCCATTTCATTTGAAATTTATACCGTAATTATTGGTATCGAATGTCAATGCTTGTACCAAATAAGAGTTTTCTCACTAAAATTTCCGTGTTTACAATTTATGCAAATTTTAGTTTATATTTTACTACTTCCCAAAGTATAACTTTCTTAGATCTCAAAATTATCTGCAGATCTTACAACAATCATTTTAAACTTCCCATCATGATACAATTTGTCAACCTTATAAATCTTTAAATTCTAGATTACGACATGCATCTTTGGAACACTTAGCGGGTGTTTGGTGCGCATAATGATTTTTGAAGGAATGAAATCTGTCAAAGGAATTGAAATTTAGAAGGAACTGGAATGGAATATTATCAAGTTTGACCAAGTGTTCGGTTGGCAGGAATGAAATGTAATCTCTCTAATGAGTTGGAATCTGCCTGTTTGGTTTGCAACATAATTAGAATGAAATGATGAAAAAAAAGACAAAAATATCCTTCCTTTGAAACAGTAAGTCATATAACAAAATATGTCAAAATAGTAATATGAAGCAGTAATATGATGTAGAAACAGTAACAAAATCGAAGCAGAAATCAGAATAGAAGTCGTAAGCAGAAATCAAAGTGTAAACTGTAAGCAGAAATCGTAAGCAGAAACTGGAAGCAGAAATCGGAAGCAGAGATCGAAGTATAAATCGTAAGCAGAAATCGAAGCAACAATCAGAATAGAAATCATAAACAGAAATCGAAGTACAAATTGTAAGCAGAAACCAGAAGCAGAAATTGGAACAAAAATCGGAAGCAGAGATCGAAGTATTAATCGGAAGCAGAAATCAAAACAGAAACTGTAAGCAAAAATGGAAGCAAAAATCATAAGCCGAAATATGAAGTCGTAACATAAATCGAAGCAAAAATTGGTAACAGTAACAAAATCGAAGCAAAAATCGGTAACAGTAACAAAATCGAAGCAGAAAACAGAAATTCGTACATTGGAGATAACAGAAATCGAAGCAGAAATCTTACCTGCAGTCTTTGATCGATGAAGAAGATGAAACAGTCGTTCAAGATGAGAGAAACCAGTGGTTCGATAGATTGGAAACAGTAGATGAGAATGGAAAAGGTGGAATGAAGGTATTTTTGTCATTTATAAAATTTTGGATGGAATGGATTTCAATTCTATCTCTTTTATGAAGGAATGGTGAAATCCTTAAATGAGGGAATGTTTGGAATTCAATTCCATTCCATGGATAACCAAACGATAGAATGGAATTTGGTCAATGGAATTGACCATTCCAATTCCATCAGATTCCGGTGAACCAAAAGCCGCCTTATTTTCTAATAGGAAAAAAGAGTTCGTATACTGAACGATGTAATTCTTATAGGAGCTCCACAAGAAAAGATAAATACGATCATCAAAGCTACCAAATTAACCAATTTCGTTTGATCCCTTTTACAAGACCTTAGTTTCTTAAGATGAGTACTGCAGATCTTTGTACAGAATCAACAAATATTTGAACTTGCAAGCATGCTAAAATTTATAAACCTCAAGTTTTTTTATGAAGGCCAAATACTGGAGCATATCTGGACACACGCATTTTCTTTCAGGAAAAACTGTTGTAGTGAATCTTCTAGTTAAAATAGTTGCTCCTCAAGATTAGATATAATGTATTAATAAAGCTGCAAATTTACCAGTTTTTGCTTCAGTCCTATAGGATAATGTTTCTTTGGTGAGTAGGATTTATAAGCACATGAAAAATTATGAAAACTGGTCAAAGATCTTCCAGCCTAGTGGTAAAGGCTTGGGCATGACATAGTCATGAACCCGTGTTCGAGCCCTGGGAGGGGAATGTTGGCGACATTTAAGTGAGGCCATGTTTAGCCTCCAAATTTGCCGGGGATTAGTCGGGCTTTGGCCCGGACACCCTTACAAAAAAAAAAAAAAAA